CCCCCCCCCCCCGGCAGCCTTGCAGCCTCGCCGCAGCCCCCACCACCTACTTCTACAGAACTCCCTTCTCACAGAAGCCGAAGGACACTTTCAAATCCTTGTCCTATTTAATGCTGGTCCTGTTCAGACACTGCTGACCACACCCTTTTCCTTTGTCTTGTGGGACGCCACACATTTCTGCCCCTCCTCAGCCTCTTTTACAGGCTCCCAAAAAGGAGACTGAGATCTTCTAAAATTGAGGCACTAGACAATGGCAGTAGACAGGGTTGAGGGATTATGTAAAAACTGAGTTCATTGCATTGTGCATTGCACAATTCATTGCACTGAAGCTTTGTGTCCTCAATCTCTGGTCACATCTTTTGAAAGTCAGTGGTACAGTCTAACGACAGGCCCAGACCAGTGTTTTAAAAAGTAATTTTTCATGTAAAATCCTAAATCTTGGACCACAGAATAAAGTTCACTTATTTCTTTAAATAATGCTATTAGATATACTTTACGATGTCATTTATTTCATATAAATTTTATACTATTTTGTTAAATGCTAGATAAAAATAAGAACATTGGGGTGCCCGGGTGGCTCAATGGGTTGAGCGTCCAACTTTGGCTCAGGTCATGATCTCACATTTCTCAAGCCCCGCGTGGGGCTCTGTGCTGACAGCTCGGACCCTGGGGCCTGCTTCAGATTCTGTGCCTCCCTCTCTCTCTCTGTCCCATCCCCACTCATGCTCTGTCTCTCTCTGTCTTAAAAATAAATAAGACATTAAAAAAAAATTAAAAGAAAAAAAAACAATATTGGACCTGCTAACATAGAAGCTCACCATCTAGTGTGCTCTGGGTCTGTAAACAAATAAAGTCAACTTAAGTGCTATAATAAAAATGTGACCAAATGTCATGAAATATGTATTATTTAAATGAATGGGTTTTAGGAATTAATAATAAACAGAAAGCTATTTATACAACTTATACAAAATATTGTAAGTGCTGACATTTATAAATATAAAAGACTTCTTTAAAAGATCATTAACTGTCAAAAGCAAATATACTAATATATTGTGAAGCTTATAACATGTGAAAGTAAAATGTATGACAGCAATTGTAAAAAGGATGGGAGAGAGGACGTGGAAGTCTACTGCTAATAAGTTCTTGCATTATATGTGAAGTAGTATAAATTTAAAAATGTATGTGGGAAAGGGGTCCTGAGTGGCTCAGTCGGTTAAGCATCCAGCTCTTGTTTTAGGCTCAGGTCATGATCTCACGGTTCCTGGATTGGAGCGCCTACATGGGGCTCCACACTATCCATGCATGGTCTGCTTGGAATTCTCTCTTGCTCCCTCTCTCTGCCCCTCCCCCACTCGGTCTCTCGGTCTCTCTCTCTCTCTCTTTCTCCCTCAGAATGCTTTTTTTTTTAACTTTAAAAAGTAAAATAAAATAGTATAAAAATGTATGCAGGAAACCCCAAGGCAACCATTAAAACAAAACAAAACAAAAAACCATGGAATTATAGCTAACAAAACAATAAAAAGAGATAAAATAGAATACTAAAAAGTACTGTATTAGTCCAAAAGAATGTAAGAGGAAAAGAGAAAAAAGAATATTTGGTACAAACAAAACAAATAAGATACCCTTAAAGTTAACTGATATATAATTACATTAAACATAATATTCTATACACTCCAAGTAAAAGGCAGAACAAGCAAGACCTGTATATATACTTTTTACAAAAGTGAAATATAATATACATATAGGCTTAAAGTAAAAGGGTAGATAAGGAAATCCCATGTGAACATTAATTATGAGGAAGCTGGCATAGCTATATTAATATCAGCCAAGGAAGACTTCAAGACAAGGAAGATATTTTATAATGTTAGGAGGATTGTTTCAAGATGGCATAACAACCATACTGTGTATGCGCCTAATAACAAAGCTTTAAAATATATGAAGCAAAAATGGATAGACTGCAAAGAGAAATAGACAGATCCACAATTGGAGTCAGAAATGTCAATAGCCTTCTCACAGCAGTTGATAAAATAGGAAACAAAGTCAATAATGGTATAAAGACTTCAATAACATGATTGACTAATTGATATTAATAGAGCAATATACCCAGCAACAGCAGAATACCCATTATTTTTACCTGCACGTGTAGAGTTTGCTAACAAAGACCATATGTCAACAGATTTGACAGCCTAGATAAAATGAGAACATTCCTTCAAAAACATATTATGAAAGTTGACAAAAGAATAAATAGTAAAGGGGCGCCTGGGTGGCGCAGTCGGTTAAGCGTCCGACTTCAGCCAGGTCACGATCTCGCAGTCCGTGAGTTCGAGCCCCGCGTCGGGCTCTGGGCTGATGGCTAGGAGCCTGGAGCCTGTTTCCGATTCTGTGTCTCCCTCTCTCTCTGCCCCTCGCCCGTTCATGCTCTGTCTCTCTCTGTCCCAAAAATAAATAAACGTTGAAAAAAAAAATTTTTTAAAAAAGAATAAATAGTAAACCTGAATAGCCATCTACATAAAACTAACATGAACATTCGTACTTAATGGTGAAAGACTAAATATTTTCTCCCACTAAGATGGGAAATAAGGCAAGAATGACCATTCTTACCCCTTCTAGTCAGTATTGTACTAGATGTCTTAGCAAATGCAATAAGAAAAGAAAAAGGAAAAACATACATTTTGGAAAGATGCAAGTCAAACTTTATTTGTTCTCAGATGACATGATCATTTACATAAAAAATCCTAAGGAGTCTACAAAAAAAGCTACTTGTATTGATAAGTGAATTTAGCAAGGTTGCCAGATACAAGGTCAATATAAAAAGAGGAAGTAAGACAGCTTCCTTTTGCTGTTTCAGCTGGCATGCAGGGTTATGAATAATAGGGTTTAGACCAGTTTTTGTGCCTGGACTCAGCATTCCAATACTTACTAATTTCACTCATGTCTTGAAGCCGATTTGATGGTAGTGGTAGCTATACCCACTTTCTGATCGCTGAATTGCAGCTATGTTCAATTCATTAGTCTAGTTCAGGGATCATCTTTATTTTTTCTACATAGGACTAGATAGTAAATATTTGAGGCTTTATAGACCACATATGGTCTCTGTTTATTATTTTTGGTTTGTTTTTACTGCACTAACCATGAAAGGAAACTGAGAAATTGGGCCTCATCAACCTTTAAAACATCTGTTCATCAAAAGACACAATTAAGATACTTGATCTTCAATTCCCAGACTGAAAAAGTTATTCGTAATACATACAGCTAACAAATGACTCCTATACAGAATTTTTAAGAACTCCTACAAATCAGTAAGAAAAAGGGAAACAATCAAATTAAAAGTTTAGCAATTAGAAAAAAGACTTGAACAGGCATTTCACAAGAAAGAATATCCAATGGCTTCTTAATTTATGTGTTAACAATGGTGGGGTTTAACTGGATTCCAGTTAACTTAAAACAGGCTTTTGCTATGTTTTTAACTCTTGAAAGTCTGTGGTTATGATAAATCTTAAATAGTAATTTATTGCCCTAATAACAGATTGACTTCTCTGTTTTCTGAAATGTAAAGTACTTGTTCAAGCTTCCTTGTTTCTTTAATAATTCAGAAGAAACCTTTGGAAGTTCCTCCATCCTTTCTTCATAAAGATATAAAAATCTCTAACATGATAGAATATTTATTAAAATAAGTTTAAGAATCTATTTCCCATTTGAATTAACTGCCCACCAGAAGATTAAATAAATATACTTACTTACATTTATGTATGTGATGGAATACCACATAGGAGTAAACATGAATGAAATAGTTATGTCAATAAATGTAACAGTGTTAAATTAAAAGCAAGCTTTAGAAGATATATACAAAATATAATTATGAAAAATATTTATGAATATACTTACATAGAAAAAATTTTAAATGTGCATAAGAATGAAACACACCAGGGGTGCCTGGA